TTCATGTATTAGGATGTTGTATTCAAGGGTCACTGTGTTGTTGAAGGTAGGAGGGGGACTTAGCAGACCGGTTTCAGTACAAAGAGGGATCAGGCAGGGATGTCCTCTTTCTGGGATGCTATATACTTTGGCTATTGAGCCCTTATTACATCAACTCAGAAGAAATATATCAGGTTTAAAATTAACAGATAAAACTAGTTTTTCGGTTAGGTTGTCAGCATATGCTGACGACGTAACAGTTTTTATAGGATGTCAAAAGGATGTTAGAACTATGGAACAAAAACTTAAACTATATGAGCAAGCTTCTTCAGCAAAAGTTAACTGGTCGAAATGTGAGGGTCTTTTACTGGGAGAGTGGGGAAATAAAGAGAGGCCGACCTTACCAGCAGGACTGCAGTGGAGCACAGAAGGGATGAAGGTGCTAGGCGTTTATCTGGGGAATGAGGACTTTCAGAGGAAAAACTGGGAGGGCATAGGTGAAAAGATAGGTGCCCGATTGTCTAGATGGAAATGGGTCCAGCCCCAGTTGTCATACAGGGGGAGGACTTTGGTTGCCAACAGTCTAGCTGCTTCCATGCTCTGGCATCGAGCCACCGTTCTTGTTCCTCCGGAAAAAATACTAAAACAGATACAGAAGGCACTGGTGGACTTTTTATGGGATGGATGTCATTGGATTCGATCGGCTGTGCTGTTTTTACCTGTGGCGGAAGGGGGTCAGGGGATGATTGACCTCAGGAGCCGCATAACAGCGCTTAGGCTCCAGACAGCACAGAAATATCTGTACAAAACGCAGCAGCCCTGGACTAAAACGGCATCCCTGCTGCTGCAAAGAATTGAAAACCTGCACTACGACAAGCATCTTTTTCTGTTAGACCTGGAGGAACTGGATATCACACAAACTTCCAGTTTTTATCAGTCGGTGTTGGATGGCTGGAGAACAATTTTAAAAAGTAAGACAGACTTCTCTAAGGTATATTCGATGGTAGGTGATGAACCATTGTTCCATAACCCGGCAATAAGGAGCAAAATTCTGGCCTCTGAAAGTATCCAGAGGAGTTTTACATCAGCAGGACTGACGAAGCTGGCAGGACTGAGGGCAGACGGTCAGTGGAAAAGTGCTGCAAAGATATGTGAGGACACTGGGACCCAGTCGTTACGCCTCATGGACAGATTGGTGCAGGAGGTTATGAATGGACTTCCCGGTTCCTTCAGAAGGGCACTAGAGGCTGAGGAGCATCTGGAGGGCTTTCCAGAGCTGTCCATTAGTGCTGCAGTGGAGGAGCAGGAGGAAGGAGAAGGGCTGCTGCTGTCTTTTAAAACTCCAGAGCTGTGGAACTTCTCTGAAACGCCAAAGAAGAGCCTATACGAGGTATCTGTGAAAGTCCAGAACAGAGCGATGCTGGCCGGGGTCAAAGAGTCGAAGTGGTCGGGTGTGTTGGCACCGGGTTCGTCTCCCAGGGGCAGCTGGAGGTCCCTGTACAAGGCCCCGCTGGAGAAACGCAGTGCGGATCTCCAGTGGAGGATTGTGCACGGGGCCGTGGCCACAAACAGGCATGTGGCACGTATCGATCACCGGGTAGGGAGTCAGTGTGCGTTCTGTCAGGGGGAGGAAACCTTAGAACATTTATGGTTAGGATGTCCCAGAATAGGTCCCCTATTTTCTCTTTTAAAGCGGTGGGTGGGAGCATTGGGAATTTGTTTTAACAGTGAATTGTTTATTTTTGGGCCCAGATACGCGGCAGCACAAAGGGGAAAAATTTGTTTGGTTAATTTTTTGTTTGGTCAGGCTAAAATGAGCATGTGGCTGAGCAGGAGGAATAAAATGAAGGGGGCAGGTTCTGCAGATGCTGAGCTGATGTTTAAAGGTTTGGTGGCGGCTCGTCTCAGGACTGAGTTTGCATATTATAGGATGGTGTCAGACCTGAATGAATTTATTTGTATGTGGGGAGTTGGAGATGTTTTATGTCGAATAGATGATGACATGCTTATTCTGAGTTTTTGAGGGGGGGGGGTTCTTATTTGTTTACTTCTGTTTTTATTTATTTATTTGTTTATTTATTTATTTTTCTTTCTTTCTTTCGTCTTTTCTTCTTTTGGGTTTTGGGGCTTTAGGGGGGTTGTGTATGTATGTATGTATCTAATTTATTTATGAGTATTTATTGTAAATAACACAATGGACCAATAAAAGACAGTCCATGGTATCTATCTGTATATCTGTATATATGTGTATAAAGATATGTAACATTGAGGATGAGAAAGGTTGTATTCTTTTCTGATTTAATTCCTTCTCTCTTCTTAGCAGTGCCAGACACATCATCATTAGCCAGTAAACCATCTCAAAATAAATCCAATATCATAAATCTACCTCCAAAGGAATCTGATACTTTTAAAAAGTGACAGCGGCTGACCTTGAGATTTATTTTTGTCACTCCAGAAACTGTCTCCCTCAGCAACGAGAGACGTGCCTGTCCAGATGGTTTTGTGTGGCATCATCTTGCTAATTGTCAGTGATGGCATCAAAGGGATATAGTAGACCTGACAACTTAGCTGATGAGCAATAAGAGTATGAGGGGGGGAAATTAGAGCCAAAACCACGTGACAGTTATTTTGTGCAGCCTACCTATGCTTTTTAAGCACACTAAATCAATTTTTTGGGGGGGGGGTTTGTTCCAAAATCAACACCAAACTACAACAGTGGAGATACGAGCACGATTCTTCTTCCTCTCATAGTTGTTATTACTATCATTATTAATCTGCTGGATAAACATATGATTTTTCTTTTTTTTTTCTTTTTTTCTTTTTAAACATATGATTTTTCTGAAGGGAGAAGTTCAGAATAGGTTATTGAACAAGCTTCCATAATTTGTCATTGTCTTTTTTTTTTTTTTTTTTTTTTTTAGCCCTCACTTTTTAAATTTTTTCTTTAAAGTTAAATAGGGCTCCAGCACAAAGGCAAAGCAAAAATGTCCCTGGTAACTGTAAAACATGTAAGACAAAACATATGACACAGGGGGATGATGCTGACCTGAGACTGACATGTGCTAAAGTACATTATAGTCATCGCCGGGATAAAGGTCACATTGACTCCTGTTATAAATTGGACAGGACAGCTCCAGCATACATGGAGTGTCAAGTGTGAGGAGGTCGGAAAGAAAATCCCTTGGATGTTTCGGGACACACACACAGGCAGGGCGGAAAGGATAAAAGTGTCTGCGTCCCGCTCTCACTTGTGATTAGCACACTTAATCATCATGTTAGTGGAGAAGTCCGGGCTAAGTTCATCACGTAATGGAGAGGCAGGGTGTAAAATAAAAACCTTGGTTCTTTAGTATTGGCTGAAAAAACCCCACTGTGGTCATCAAAACGATGCATAAAGGTATTAGTGCTCATAGCATTAGTGAGTTAATACACAGTTTTAGCTGTTGTGAAGATTTATGTATTGTTTAGAGTTGTTTTTTGACTAAGAATACCCTCCTTGGAACAACAGCAAGCACAAGAACAGACTTTTGCTCTGATAAACAAAGGAAAAGTACTTGAAAGGAAATAAGCAAATGAATGCGATGCCTCATTAGGCGGGTTTTATTTGACCGTGGCCAATTAGAGAGCATCTGTAATTTAAAACAGTCAACCTAAAAAAAGATTCAACGAAGAACACATCTCTCTCGTGGGACCGAATCCTTTGCCTTGTTTTCATTCAAATTATTATTTTTCACCAGTGACATTTTTTTTTCTATTTGGGCGAATTTAAATAATGCTGGGAGGACTCTGAAGTTCAAAAATATGCAGATAGGCATCCGAAAGTGTGGAATTAGTGGGATGAGATGAAAGCGTGGGGTCTGAGGGGTTTTGTGGGGGTCAATGATGCCCGCTGAGGTGTTTGGCCTCGCTCTCAGCTGGTTCTGTTGACATGTTTTGCTGTTTATTTTTATGATCGATATCTTTTCCTCCGTCTTAATCAGCGACCTGCTGAGATTCCACCGGGCTGTTACCCTTAACGACACAAAGGTCCGTGTTAAAAACAAAGACTGACAGCTGGTTTTGGCTGCGAAATCGCACCTGAGTGCAGATTAACGTGGGGGCTTCCTCGCAAACACAGACAGCGATGAAATATTGATGGGGGGAGAAGTAGTTTTCTGAGGATCCGCGCGAGTGATCTGCATCAAAAGATATGAGCAAAACAAGATCACAACTGCTTACTTTGCGGGAGGAGGGTGGGAGGCATGGGGTAGGGGTGGGGTGGGGGGGATTCTTGAGGAAAATACTAACACCTGTATTGCTTATACTGATTGTTAAGCATTGGAGAAAAAAAAACGAAGTGCAATATGCATAAGCAAATGCTGGAATAATGAGCCATCTGTATGTGTGGTCCCTTCCTTGGAGATGCCAAGATCGGCACCATCTGTGATGCAGCTACCAGCTGTTTTTCTTCTTATTACATGTTTATTAAAAACTGATGTTGTCCTTTTCAAGCAAAGGGAAAGAGAGCATGGGTGGCTGTGTTGGTTATCCGACTACCTCCATCTCCATTAGAAATAGACTTGAGTCACATTCTTAAAAAATCCACTATTAGTTTCAAAGATCAGAGGGAATGCTAATTAAACAGTCCGTCTTTTTCATCAATGAGTTACAGGAAATTAAGAGAACAAACACAAGATTGACTGGCAGCAAAGAAACAAACATAAAAGAAGATGAAGGAAATCTATTCCACCAGGACTGGGAAATAAATAAATCTACAATGTCACTTACCCCACCTTCACTTAGCCCTTTGGGTTTGTATTTCAGAGTCCCTCAGCAGGGTTTACGCATCTTTTCTATTTGCATTGTTTTCAATTTTCAAAACCTATTAGCAAGATATCGATTGACCACAATTGAGCATTTATGCACAGCAGGCAACTTACATCCCCGGAGTCAGAATCAGATCACATCTCCCGTAATTGAGGGTGGCAGAACTGCAGACCACCCTCTGCAACTGTCAACAAATTTCAGGAGCTCAAACTAAGATGCTTGAGGAATGCATCCCGCAGCAAGTGATGGACACCGAGGAAGGAGGACTGGAAATGTCTATCAGCATCCTGTGCCACGCGCTGAACGAGACAGGTCAGGTCTGAATAGACACTGACAAACCCGGGGTGGACACACTGTCGACGCGGACTAAAGCAATACCAACGGACAAGTGACAGGCTGCTCTAATGCCTTACCTAACTCCAGCACACACCCGAAAAGGGGAGAAGAATATTGTGTGTCTCTTTGGACATATGGACAAACAAGGGGCGTCAAATACGGTCTAAAATATTCTCAAAGGCAACACTTTTTTCCTAAATCGGAATAAATTTTTAAAAACACCGAAGACGACCGCTACGTGTCTTAATATCTGTGATGAGAATTAGAGTGTATTCTGAAACAGCAAATTGATATTTCTGACAGGGTGTCCATTTCTCGGGTTTGTGCGTTCACTCTGCTCAATGCTCAATAAAACAAACAAATGCCCTCTATTTCTCTGCAAACAATTACCTGCCATAGATTGTAACCTTATTGGATCAAGTGAAATGTTTGAAATAAATCATTAGAGGCGCTGACAGCGCATTTATCTTCACTTTTGCTTTAATGCTCTGTGCACAACGCAGTGGATGAAGTCAGTCATGGGTGTGTGTGTGTTTTTTTTTTTTTCTCTTTCTTTTTCTTTTGGACCCCAGTGTTTCTCAGTGTGTGTGCCCGTAAGAGCACTGTTGCGTGTGTCAATCCTCCTGTGGAGCCATGTTCTCAAAGCTCTTCATTTTGAAATCAAGCATGAATAATTAAGCCATTTCACAAGGCTGCTTTAACAATATATTACACGCGAGGAAATAGGTCAAGCAGCAGTGTAAGAAAGATTGTTTGAATGGGTGTTACTGAGCTAAAAAAAAACAAAAGGTGAACAATTCTCCCCTCCATACATGCCCCATGCTATTCCTATGGTTCAGAATGATTGACAGTTTGAGCCTATAACTCATTTTCCCTCTAAAAAGGCTTTTCTGATAAAACGGTAGGTTATAGGTTGACTCCACAGTAGATCATCAGTTTAGGGCTTTGTTTCTTTGAATATACATGAAGTTTAAATGCAAGGTAAGTGTGCATGAGAATATCTGAATATGTCTTTTGTCATGTCTTTATTATGTGTTTTGTTACATTACATTACATTACAATGTTGAAAATAAATTAAAGTGCAACAAGTTTTAATTGGGAATTGTTGGTTGGAAATGACTAATGGCATTAATATAAAAAATGTATTGCTTTTCTTGTATTTTTAAATAAGTTTATGTTACATATCAAATATATTTATTATTTATTTAATTTTTTTCATAAACCTATCCATGAACGAAAACAGAAAGACAAAGCCATGGGAAATATTTTGCAAACTAAATCATTTTCGACATAGTTTATTTTGTAACGTAAAACGACATTTAAAAGGATGTATGGTAAATGGACTACTACTTATGTAGCGCTTTTCCAGTCAAACTGACCACTAATAGCACTTTACACTAAACTCACATGCACACCAGGAGGCAACTTGGGTTTCAGAGATTTGCTCAAGGACTCTTTGACATGTGGCCTGAAGGAACAAGGAGTTGAACCACTGACCCTCCATTCAGTAGGAAACTGCTGACTAAGATCATTGAAACATATTGGCACGATAAGATGGATTGGTATACTTTATAACTAAGGTGGATGTATCTTTGAAGAATAATACGTGAATTTGGTGTGAATCTATCTGATTAAATTATTTAAAACTCTGAATATGTTACATTTATTTCTGTTTTAAATGACCAGATCACAAGTACTTGAATGTGAAAAATGAAGTTCTTGTTGGACATTTCCCCTCAAAAACCCATAACAAATATATATTATTCTTCTCAATCTTGCCTGAGAGAATATGTCGCAAACTGTTCAGTTAGCAGTGTTTTGACGAGACTTGATGCTTGCTTTTACTATTTCATTTACTTTAAGAGCCTACTAATTTCTTGTCATTCTTTGTAAGATACAATATGTTTCTAAATGTATACGAATCAGATGAACACTGACAGCAAAGAAATGTTATTGCAGCCATTTTTTTCCAATGTGACACACAAAGAAGCTGCAAGATTGTTGCTATCACACAGACTGAACAGGAATTACTCTGTGTTTATAGTTGGTATACACATACAGATCAACTTATTTCTATACTTCTACATTTTATGAGGACTGAAGCAGTAGAGAATCAAAAGTAGTCACCCAAGTAATGTCATGTTACATATTCACATCTGCACCTAGTATTATTTAAAGTGGAAGATCACACTGGCGTCTGCATCTCTATGATACACTTTAGTGTTGTAAAAAGGACAACATTTTGACTGATGGGAAAAATGCTCCGTGAAATGCTCCGCCATTTGTTACATTCAGCCCTGAGGACAAACAGGCCAGTGTCCCAAAAAGCTTCTTCACAGTAAAGCTTGATATGCTACTCTGTAGATGACAAGTAGTACCCTTTAATTCATACAAAACAAATGGTACGTTACATATATATTCAATAAAAAACTAATCAGTTAGTCTCTTTCAGAAACAAAGTTCCACCATCAGTCATCATCAGGCAATGAGAAAAAATGTTAAATGCTTATATTTATTCATTTGATCACTCATTACTAGAATTTGTCTTTTTTGTTGTTTTTGTTTGCTTGTTTTATTCCCAAGCCATTAAAACAAGTTCTTATCAAGCTTGCATCTTTAAATTGCTCCAATTCTGCTCAGGGAAATTTGTATTTTTAACCACTTGTCAGTCACACAACTGGGAAACACATTTTTTTCTTCCTTTTTTTTTAAAGTCATCCACTGCATTTATAACAGCTCTTTGTTTTTTTAGCCGTTGGAAGTTTTCGCACACTAAATTTAAATAAAGCTGCTTTTGCTGTGTACATCTGATCGCACTTCTCAGAATATTATAAAACCAGACTTCAATCATCAGGCCTCTACTTCATCTTTGAAGTAAAGACAGGCTTCACTTTCCACGACCATACTCCTTTTTATCACAGGCAGACCATTATAATTAGAATCCCTATTTTACCGAAAATGTAACTAAATTGTTCAACCACATGATATGAATGACACCATAGTTAGGATATTTGACAGTGTCCAGATTTCACACAAATGGATAATGGATAGGCTTAATGGTTTTTCAGTGTTTTGGACACACAAATAGCCAAACGGCGTGAATGGAACTGTGAAATCTTTTAAATGATGTTTGTTTGGAATGATTTTAAACTTACCGTCTGTCAGATATTTGCAGGAGTCTGATGCATGGTCTGTGAAATATTAAGAAATTTGAAAGATTCCCCAGGATAATGGTCCTGTGTATAACTCTGTGGACATACCAAAATTACATTTCTGACCCGAGATAAAGTCTCTATGAATAAATGTTCGAGTAAATGTTTGCCTAACCAAAAAGTCTTTGGTAGAAGGAGACGCAGCCGTTTCATAATTCCTCTTACAGTAACTGAGAAATGTTGACACATCTCTCATTCCTATTTTCTTGAGCACAATTTGAAACGCTTATGAACTGCGAGGGGCCATACCCAACCAATTAGATATGTTTGAAAAGCTCGAGTGGGAGAAGATAGGCATAAATGTCAAAGATGAGAAAAAAGAAAATGAAAAGAAATGAAATGCCTTAATTGCTGCATTGTCCATCCTCTTTTTTGCAGGGGCTGAAACCAAAGAGTCAAAGTTCATTTACTATGATTTGAATCAAAAACAGTAAAAACTGAAAGAAACATAGACATTTTCTTAAGGAAAAAATGTGGTGAAAGAATAACAAATATATCTAGTGCTACACATCAAACCACAAAGACAAAGTAACCATACAGCATAGTTCAATAGCATGGTCTATTAGTAGGCTACTATTCTAATCTTCTTATTAACTTTAAACACCTTGAAATGCTATTGCTAACTTAAAAGATTGGGGACACATTGAGGAGAACTGTTGAAACATCGTCATGAACTAGCAGTCCTGTTTTTGTCAAAATAATGTCAATATCCATCTCATTTAAGATTTGGTCTGAACTCCACCGACTCCTGAGGGAAATATGTGTCTCAGCTGCTAAAGGCTTTACTATGTTGTCTGGCTAGTTGTTAACTCTGTCCGCTTTTTGGTCTTGAACATAATGATTCACAGATTAAATCTCATATTGGGTATTGTATCTTCAGTTTTGTGTCTGAAATATGTACAACGTTAGATATATTTGATACCCATTTGATGCAAACAACATTTTTTATCCAGTAAAGATATCCATTAAATGATTTTGCTATATGTTACAGGACACATCCTGAGCAAAACAGACCATCACTGATAAGGATTTTTTTCTTTGAATTAATTTAATTTTCGAAAAGCTCAAATGTTGTTTAAAATGTTCTAAAAAACAGCAAACAAATATTACTTGCAAACCTTACTTTAAGGGCCTCTGATACTTCCAAATGTTTGTGCAATTTAGGTTCCTGTTATTGGAGGATTATTCTTTAGTTTTCAAAGATATTGCTGACTAGCACCATTATTAGAAGTAGCCATAGCATATTGTAGAGGGACAGGGAGTTACTTGTTGATGTGTGGCAAAGGTGTGGAAGCCAAAACAATATTTTCATATCCCTAGTCACTACATAGAGAAAAAGGTATGGAGTCATATTTAGAGACATTTTAATGCTGTGAGACCTTTTTAATGACAAAAGATTTCCAATCTTGTCAGAGGCTGAATAAAATTGTACAAACAGTTAATTTTCTTAATACTACTTACATGTTATCTATTCAAAAGAAAAATACAAAAATCTGTAACAAAAGTGAATGTTATTGTCTTTTATGCTGTATCTCAATTTGCCATTTATCAGTGCAATGTAAAAAAAAAAAACTTCTTCAGTAAAAATAAGAGTTCAGTGGTAGATAGGTCTTTTACTCATGTCCATCACATCTCTGCTCAGCTATACATGTCCTTCCGTCACTTATCTAAATGGCTGTGGGGAGCCAGTAAACAATGTCTAACAGTTAGTTTGACATACCGGAGCCAAGGAACATGTCTTCACTTACATTTTTGAGCAATTAGCTGACCAGTCGGAGCCTTTGAGGAGAAGGGCCTCAAGGAGACAGAAACTGAAAAGAACCATCTCTAGCTGAAAGTAGTGAGATGCTGTAGGAAAGTAATCCCAAAAATGAAAGGATTAGTGTATTATGGTCGCCTAAAGTGTAATTCAACTTGGAGGCCCATTGCATGTTCCGTTGTTTTAGTCAAAACTGGACTTGACTGCCATAAACTGAGATCAAATATGTTGATGCCTTCAAAACTGTTTTATATCAGATTACAATACTGGTTGTAAATAAGAACATTTAAAGACTGGGATAAGTCTCTCAAAGGAAAAATATGAGGTCTTAAATCTATGGGGTTCTGCTTTGCTGACAATAAATAAAAGTCTACTTCTGTTGAGAACTCAGAAGTGCTATGGATGACTTTTCAAATAAATGTGACCAGGATGTAAAGTCTTTATCTAACATCCATCCAAAGTACTCAGGCAATGTTCAAATGCATGTTTCTTCTTACATGAAAGGTAAGTTGCCCCCACTTCCTGGCCCCACAGGTGGCAGCTAACAAAAAACCCACTAACAAGAAACATGTTTGTCACAAATGTTACAGTGACAGAACACGTTTAAGTGAAATCTTAAGTTTACATACTAGAAAATCCTCGAGCAGCCAAGTATGAGAGTGGCAACCGTGTTGAGTGAGGAAAACTCATCAAGACTTTGGGGGATGACGGATTACACTATCTGCACACGGATCTCACGCGCGAACGGTCGCTAGAAAGTTTCGGATAGGAGTTTTTGGTGCATAAAGGTGGGGGAAAGGCCGATGTCACGAGGATGTAGCGTGGTCTGTGACAGTCCACAGATGCTTTGTTTACACACAGAGCTGTCAGACAGGTAGGACTCAAGCTTGATCCAAGCGGTGATTGATCGCCCAGGTTCAGGTGGAGTTCACGGGAGGTCTCCGGTATCATTTGCGAAAATGAGTGACAGACACAAAATAGGGTGATGGAATATTATCAGGAAGCCATTTGTAACGCCGGCGAGCACGGATCTCTAAGGGGGTGTTGTCTCCCCGAAATGAAGTCATCCATCACCTCGGCTTCATATTTGATTAGCTCATGAGAAGCTTTTAAAGGAGAAACAGAAGCTTTCATCTAGCACAGAGTTTGGCAAAGATTCAGATTGTTTTGTTGAATTTTGTTTTTACAAAAGTGCAATTAAAGGGGAAAACATGTAAAAAAATTTTTTAAAAATACATCAAACTAAAAAAAAAGAAAGAAATTCTATCTGAAGTGTGTTGACTCTTCAAGCGCAGAACTAATATTTCAGTCAAAACCAGAATTAGAATACTTAAATTGTTTTTTTCTATTGTCTCAGTCTTTGCCAACATAAGGAAATTAGATTCTATTAGAATTTAAATAAACACTTCAGTGTTTAATAAACAATTTTCTGTGTAAATCATAATGATTCCCATGCTTTCTATTATTATACTAAAAGGTCAAAGGAAAAAGCAACCTAAAGATAGCAACATTTTATTCTTAATTTCATACATTTCACAGACTTATGAAGAGGTCATTTGTTCTTGATAAACATAAGTAACGGCATAGTGTGTTTGTTTTCTTAAGATGAGTTTATTCAGACAGCTTTTTTAGGGGGTAAAACATCCCTTTTTAGGTTGGTTTTGAAATTTTCGCTACTTGATGGATGTCTTCGAGCAAATGTATCACTTTTTGTTGTGTTCTGTTTTGATGCGTTACCATGCCAACTGTGGAGTTGGTTAGATGTGTGAGTTGCAGACTAAGCTTTCTAAAGCCCAAGTAATATCCACGAAAAAAAAATACTGAAGATATGGACAAATGAAGACGTATCTAAGAAGATACACGGAGAAGATGGGAGAGGAAGTTAACGCCATTTCTTTGCTCGATCAACATGAGAAAAGTGAGATCACTTCCAGATATAGCAGCACAGGTAATGAAGATAAATATATAATTTGTTAGAACAAAAGAGGCCTTTAAAAAGAAATTAGAGTTGAATGCTTGTCCAAATCAGTAAAAAGGTAACAGTAAAGAGGCAGGAACTGTAGTATTTGTTGATTACAAATGGCAAAATCCTGAGCATGTGACTGAATGAGACTCTTTGTACTGGACACTGAAGTTTTAGTATATTGACAGAGTTAATTTGCATTAACCTGCTGGCACTGGGAATGATGTCATCAACTCTAATGTCTATTGCTGCGAAATTACAGACACAGCTCAGAGCATTTCTCTCATGTCTGTCTTTACATCGATTAGAGGATCTTTATTATGCATTTTATTTGTCATTTTACATTTTTGAAACAACATCAACATACTTCTTTTTGGGTTTTATTATGACCACCAAGTACTTGTACGTTCTCTTTTTATTTGACTTATAAATGCAGCTTTTTATACGCATACTTTTAAATTTGACTTTGGGAGTCAGATTTTTTCTACTTTTGTTTGCCATTGTGTAACATGACTAAAAGTAATCGAGTAAACGACGACTGCCAACCCAAAAAAGAAGTGATTTGCAAATTACACTTATAGTTTCTGTGAGGGTTTAAGTGAATGTTTAAATGCTTATTTGCACTGTAAAATATTCTGATTCAAATTTTGTAATTCAAAAATGTATTAAGGACAGCACAAGCCATTTTTCTTTCCACAAAAGTGAGACCCACATCTGTAATCATGCACATGGGATCTGATAAAGGTTCCAGGATCAGACATCCCTTTTTCCCAGGTTCTAGGAAACTCTATGGATATATTTAATCAGTTAACGTGTTGGAAAAAAGTTAGATTATTCGTGCCTAAAGCATTAGCATTCATTTTAAGACGAACAATAAACTTGGGACAGCTGTAATTAATGTATACATATTGGACATCCCTTTAATCCACCAAATAAGACGAAAGGTGCTGTGGGAGGGGGGGCTAAAGATGCCTGAAAAGGCAGAAAGTGATAGAAAGCAGCGGTAGCCATGGTGTCTTTTTTCCCTGGCCTCTGTTCCTTTAATAAACTCATGGTTATCTAGTGTAACAAATGTCTCGCTGCCATCATCAAGTCCAGGCGAGGAGGGAGGAGTTTTTAATGTTCAGTTTGTTCTATGAATCGATGTCTGCTGGCATCGCCTCTTTCCCCCCCAGTCGAAACCGCACCGTGCGTAATCCACCCGTACCATTACCGAACGCCTTTTTTTACGCGCGGTTTACCCATCCGAAAACTGCCCCCGGGACTGACTGACACGCGTCGATCAACATATGTAGCCCTGATGGACGAAGGCGGATGGTGAAAAGAGTCGACTCGACTGCCCGGAGGAGGAAGAAGAAGAAGGTGAAAGAAGAAAAAAGCCCCGATTTCGCATCCGATCGTCGCTTTTCGGAACGATTCCCTCACTGGATTCTTTTTTTTTTTTAAATACAACGCGAGAGACCAAACAACTCGGAGAGCCAAAATAAAGACTGGCACACAACATATAATCTCTCTCTCTCTCTCTCTCTCTCTGTATGCATGGACTATCGTAGACCGCATTCAGATTTCACCTGGGCACAGTTTTGAACTGCGACTCCAAAAAAGAGAAAGAAAGAAAACAAAACAACAAAAAAAATGCCACGGAGGAAACAGCAGGCACCCAAACGGGCTGCGGGTAAGCGACAAAGAACCTGTGTCACTTCAGTGTGACATTTATGGGGTTATGTTTTGTTGGGATTCTGTTTAAAAAAAAGAAAAAAAAGAAAACTCGGTTGTAACGCAGTGTTTGTCTTCTCAAACTTTCATCATGTGGGACCACCGAGGAGATTGGAATTAGACCCCTGCCTCCTCCAGTGTCCCGAGGACCTCCATCGGAGTAGAATTTTCTTAGATTTACAAAAGAGTTATCAAACTGTGAATATGACATGTGAAGATGTGGATTGAGACATATTGAATTAGCGATAATTCAGATTTTTTTAGCGATACCTTCCAAAGTCCATAGCCCAATGTTCCATTGGTTGAAATTAATGAGTGGATTACTAATAATGCAAAGCAGAATAGAGGTGATATAGCTCTCTACTTCTCCGTCTATAACCTGTCACATGGTGTTTATTCACTCGCTGGTTAGAAACTTTTCTTTTTGAAAACAAAAAAAAAACGCCCTCGTTGCGTTTTTTTATTGGAGTGCAGAAGGGGTTGAGAGATGTGGTTCCGCCGTATCGTGGCAAATGAACTCTGTGTGAACTCTTCATAATCTTATGGACAAATGGAGAATGGGTTCCACTCACTCACACTCACTCACACACACTTGGACACACACACACACACTAAACTACTCTGTTAGCAGAGAAAAGGGAGGCACAGCTCACACACATTTTTTTTACTTTTTTTGTTCACTTCAGTGTAATCTGCTTCCTGCTTTATCTGCAAACCTCTTGTTTGTGTGTTGTGTGCATCTGTTGAGGGAAAAATATTTATCATCCCATCTTAACAGAGGCCCGTATTTGTCGTAGTGTGTTAGTTTTAGAACTGTTTTGTCACTTTTTAGTGCTTGTGTTTGTAAAAAAGTTTTCATTTCTGAACAAAACCGTATAGCCTGCTTGTTTTTTTTTTTTTTACCCCCCCCCCCCCCCCCCCCACAGTAAAAATCACAGCCACGCAAGGTAACGTGACCTTATTTTCTGCCATCTTAAATTACAACCTTCCCGAACGACCGCTTCATAATAATAATGGAGCTGCTGGATTAAAACTATCTCGATCAAGGGTTTTTTTTTTCTCAGGATTTGAGGATGCAATTTCTTGGTTGTGGTGCGTTGAGAAGTTATCAGTCTTTATTACGGCTGCGGATGTAGCAACCAGATGGCGACTGTTCTTTGCCAGTAACAGCGTCTCTTTATATAAGATACCCAGACCTTTATCTGCCCAGCACACTCTCAGTTTACACACACACACACACTTAGCAGGCGCTCACTGCCATACGTACTCTCGATAAATATTTCTTTCCCACATCTCAGCCCACAAAAGCCCCCTTTTTTCTTAGAAACAATGCCCCTGGTTTTTTTATTCAGAGGACTTTTGAGAAGATGCCTAAGTGATCCCTTTACACGCTCTCAGCTGCTTTTCGCCTGTACTCTGGTAAATGTGTCAGCCCTATAGAGAAATAAGCCCCTTCCAGAAGAGTTTCTTCATTGTTGAGGTAATTGTCTCCTCTTTGACAGGCACATTCATCAGTGGCTTAATGGTCAATCAAAAGTTGGCAGGCAGAGTGTTTTCATTCTTTCCTATCCACTACATTAGGAATACTTAATCAAAATGTCTCCCGGTAATGGCTGTGAAGAGTTCATGACTGACTGATCCGTTGTCTGTGTGCCGATAGAAAATTAACAGCTCGGCACTGGAGAGATGTGGGCCTGCAGATAAACAAATTGTGCATTAATATTTCATCTTCGAGACCTGGGATGTGCTATCAAGCGGTGGAATATTCCTGGGCTGTGTTGTCATTTTTCTCGCATTCTTTTTTTTTCTTCCCCCCCCACCCTGTATTCTTGAAGGCTCTTTGCAGCTGTAACTCATTTCACTTGATGACTTTACTGGGGTTACAGAGAGTGACGACAAATTGATTACCTGGCAGAGCAAGAATGGAGCGAAAGAGAGGCGCGGGCTGACAGTCATGTTATAATAATATGTTTAATGATGTGTGGAGGGGGAACAAGGAGAGAGGAGTATTGAAATAAGAGCATGGAAGATGCAAAGGAATAGATTTCATTTTTGGTGGCGCTCTTAAAGATGCAGTATCCCCTCTTTGTGGAAATTGTCTTTTGCAAGGTGGGGTTGTTTTTTTGAAAAACAATTCCAGCTCAACCATTCACACAGGATTCTACATTCAATTTGCTTGCGTTTTCCTTTAGGGGTTGTGTTATTAACGGGCACACCTGGCCATACATCAGGCCAGGTATCCCTGATTTACCTCCTCCTCGAACGTACTCTGTATGGTAATTTAAAATGCCAACCGCTCACCGGTCCAGAATAGGTACACTAAACCTTTTCTTTATTACTGAGAAAGCATCACAAAGCCAGAGGCTATCAGGCTTACAGATTTGTGTATCAGGTTTATATATGGTGTAAACATGAAGCCCTATAAGTGCAGGAGGAGGCATTTTTGACTGAAGGGAGCCATATGTTATTGCTGTGGCCGTGGGAGTATTCCTCTCTCTGTTTTCTTTTCTTTTTCTTTTTTCTTTTTTTACAATAGCTCTGTGCTTCAAACCGTTAGCCCAATTTGCTGTTAACAAGATAAATTGGAGAACAGACAAAGGCATTAAGTGTTGCAGTGCCAGCTAGTGACTGACAGCAGCTTGTGGGAATTGGCTAGCAGAAATTCCTCCTAAGTGGTTTGTTCAGAAAACATCCTACCATCAAGGCAGATGTTGTTTATCAAGTCTAGGTAGAAAACGGAACTCAGTTGTGAATGACAAAAATATATATTAAAAACCAGATCAGCTCTGCCTTTATTTTCCCATCTACCTTTGCCTAAAGCTTCACAGATACTAAATGGTCTTACAGAGGTAAGATAATTTAGTATCTATGTTTGAGTATTTTGCTTACATTTATTTTACCATTATTATGAGTTGAGATATAATATGAAATTGCTAGATTTAAATGATCATATAAAAAGGATTAGCATCCTGATTTTGAACATTTTCACGCCCCTCCAAACTTTTTGACTGCTCACCTCCTACAACAAATTTACAACTATGACGACATTTTTCAGGCCTCTCTTGTAAGACAGAGCCACGTACTTTGGCCATACCCTCTTATTGTCCTAGAAAAATGTATGTTTCTAGTGATTTGAGTAGTTTGAGTGTGTCATTTTAGTACTACTGTCATTTTTCTGGCTTAGTAGTAATACACATTGTGTGTGCAAGTATGTTTGAACATCACTTTCTGGGTTTTCTGAAGCTCATCCTGAGAGAAAAATTAAGGAACATTATCATTAATGATCAAGTGTGGATATTATCTGTATTAAATCTCTTTGAATTTGTATCAGCAAACGGATATTTTGTTTTGATCAAATGCAACCATACTAATTTTATTAGCACGTGATCAGTTTTTCAACATGCATGTGTTCCCCATGGAGACCCATTTTCTAAATTTCTTCTCATCTGCTAGTTTTTTCTTTTTCTGTGTGGTCTGACTACTTAAAAAAAGTTGTTTTTTTGAGCGTGATCCCTATGCATTTTGTCATACGTGGTATTTGCGGTAGAGTAGTGACAGGTTTTAGATAGGTGGTAGTTTGGGAAAGCTTTTGTTTGCATGCGAGGCAGACAGGGTGGTGCGCTGTCTAGGTGATAAGAACCGAGACTCCGGTGCCCTCCAGCTGCAGCGATCTCGTTCCTGAGCCCCTGCTCTCTCTCTCAACGGCGTAGAAAAAAAACAAAAAAAAACAGCCTGTTATGATGGGTCTCAAGGCAAGTGCCTGTGCAGCGTTGCACCTCTCTACAGCGACTGCTCGTTCACCTTGCCTTCCCTCTGAGACCTGCGCTAGTTTCCAGGCAAATGACACAATTTGATATGCCGTTGGGGTGATTCATGTGGATAATGTTTCCATGTGATCATCGCTGCAGAAAAAGCGACTATTTCACGTTATGCTTTCTTTTCTTTTCTTTTTTTTTTACTCATTAAGCCTGACAATAACTAGAATTTTCAGAGAGTTTATTGCATTATTTCTGCAAGACATTCAAAGTACAAAAGAAATGATATTGTGGTGTTCTGTCCAGGTCCATACCGATATAGCAAATTACAGAGAAAAGCAGGGAGGAGCCTTTATAGCTTAGATTGCTCATTTAAGTGGATTTAGAGGATAAGAATGCAAGGCAAGCTTGCAGTGTATACAGTAGCACTGTGGGCCTGCTATTGATTTCACAGAGCAGGTATGGTATGCTCTGGTTTATGGAAATTAATCCGACCCATGTGCTTTTCATTATTGCAATGATAAACATTCTAACTATTGTTTATGTCTTTATAATTTATACGCTGAGGAGTTTTGTCAACGCATCATACGCCTCCATTCAAAGTCAAAATGACTTAAGAGAAGACATCCATCTTGTAGTAGTTGACCTACATCTGCAGTTTGTCAGGGGGCATACGTGTTGGCCATATGGTCTGAGGTTTTTCTGAAACAATCGGAGCCAGATCAGGTTAACCTAACCAGAGATGCTTTTGAAAGAGGTTGCCATATCATGTTTTTTCTCTCTTTCTTTCTTTCTTTTTTAAGCGGCCCTTTGCGTCTTTAAAAAAATCGGCCCTATCTGATTTCAAAGGTGTGGAGCAGATGAGGCTCCTGTTCTGATTTCATTAGAAAGCAATGTGGCGGAAAATTAAAGCATTTGTGGCATACTGTAAATAGGAAGCTCCAGATTTAAAGTTTAAATACATATATGTAGAATGTGGAAGAGCATGGCATTTCCCTTGGATATATGACTGTCCAAAGATAGAGAAAACATTAATCTAATGTTATCCACAGTGTACCTGATTTGCTTCTTATCAAACCCTTAATGAGCTTCAATTACGATTTATTATGCAAATTAACCCTCAGCTGCTACTGACTGCAGGAGCAGGAGCTATGACAATATTGTGCTAATGGTGTGATCTGTAACAATTACAAAAGTAAACTGC